CTCTATTTCCTTTGACTTTCCTCCTGTCCCACTATCATGCTCAGTCCCCACCAGGGTTTCAGCAATCCCTCTTGGTTAAATTACCCTTGATCTTGCCCTACCAGATCTCCCACACCCTCCTCACCACCGATTTGGATCTCTTCTTGTTCCTTTGTCCCTGGGTCTGTTAACACCACTACCTTTCCTCCCCACCCCCACATCTACCATCACCCAGCTCCCCTCTTTCCCGACCCACAGAGGGCAGAAGACAGACCTCAGAAACACAGCAGGGAATCAGGCCTTGCCTACCTGGAGTTTAGGTCCCCTCTCCCAGGTAGGGTGGACAGCCTGCTCGGAGGGCTAGCCAGGGATGGAACAGAAGCGTCCTGGGTGAGTGGAGGAAAATGGGATTTCTCCTTAAGGAAGGAGCCATAGGGGAGCTTGACTCTCCTGCCTGACCCTGTGCCTCTGCCAGGGCCCTCTGTCCCCCAAGACTCCGGCACCCGGGGGGTACAACCCCAATTGCCCAGCAAGCCCTGAGGGGAAGCTGCCCCAGCTGGGAGGCAGGTTGTCTGTGTCTAACCCCATGCTCCTTGGAAAGGGGAGAGAAGGAAAGAAGAGAATGACCAGTGCAGGGCGGTGACCATCGCCATGTTTCAAAGCAAAGCCACCCCCCCAGCCCCCCAGTCACCGCACCACAGACCACTCCGTGCTTAAGGCCAAAGAGAACGATATCGTCCCAGCCTTGCCTCTCATCTGCTGAAGCCCCTGCCCCCAGCCCTCCCCTCTCGTGTGTCTGCTTGCCTCCCCTCCTTCCACCACTTGCTCAGGGTCCATCCCGCAATTGAACCCCCAAAGCTCCCTGACCTCCCCTCCCCCAGTGTCTCCACCCCAGCTGGAGCAGACCCGGTGGGTTCTACCTGTGCTGGCGCAGTCCCAGGAGGGGCCCACTCGGCAGGGGTCTGGCCTCAGCTTGGCAGAAGCTATGCTGAGGGGCCTGGGCAAGGCCCTGGGGGGTACTCAGCCATCTCCTGCCCCCTCACCGGCTGTGCCTGCTTCTCTCCCACAGAGTCTGTGCCCATGGCCGTCATCATTGGGGTGGCCGTCGGAGCCGGCGTGGCCTTCCTTGTCCTCCTGGCGACCATCGTGGCCTTCTGCTGTGCCCGCTCCCAGAGAAGTACGGGAGGGAGACCCGGGATCTCAGGGAGGGGGACAGAGCAAAAGGCCAGGCTTAGACTGCCCCGGAGAGCAAGTAAGCAGCAGTGCGCTGAGCAGGGGGCCTACCCATGCGGTGCGCTCCGGGGACAGGGGTGGGTCTTCCTCCTCTCGTGTGCGCTCGCGCCTGGCGCTGCATCTGGCACGCAAATGGACACTAAACTGATGTGAAACTGGGCCAAAAGGACCCTCCTCAGAAAGAGCAGACAGCTAGGCCAGGGGCTACCCAGACCCAGCCGGACCCTGAGTGTGAGAGGTGAAAGTGGGCTGATGATTGCCGGCTAACGGGTGCTAGTTCAACCAGAAAAGCACGTAGCCTGTGTGAGGGAAGAGAGCAGTCCAGCAATTGCTCTGCACAGGCTTTACGAGGGCTTTCTTCATTGGCAGTGAAACTCCGGTGCGTGTGCTCTCTGGAAGTGTGACTGGCCTCCCATGCTGAGCACAGTTGTAGAGTTATGTGCGAGGCACGGAGCTCCGTGAGAACAGATGGCTAAGGCGGAGTCGAGATGCAAATGGTGGGGTCTCCGTGCTTTCATTCTTCTCTTTACCTGCGTCCTTGGGCAAGCCGAGGCTCGGGTCTTTCCTTTGGAGATGGCACGGCTTCCATAACCCCTCCAGTTTTCAACCTGCAGGAGCTTGAAGCACAAACGGAGTAACCGAGTAAGCGCCTCCCCGACCATCTGGGCAGAGAAGCTGCTGCTTTCCCCTTACGTCATCTCTGATCCAAGCCAAGCACCTTGGCTACTTCCTGTGGTGTGGTCCCGGGACCTGCCTCATGGCCCTCTCAGTGGAAATGATCGGGGGGCATATTTTAGGAAGAAGTTTTAGCAAAGCCATTCAAGTCTAAACCAGCCGCCTCCTCTAGAAGCAGCGATTCTCCCTCTTGGGAGCCAGCCTTCCACAGGCCAGGGGTACATTAGGCCAGGCTTCTGCTTGGGGTGGGATGCTGGCTGTGGACCTTAAGGGCCTATCTAACACTGAGATCTGTGATTCGGTTAAGGGCAGGATCAGAAATGGGTAGGGAAGTCATACAGGCCTTTTTTTTTTTTTTTGCATTTTTTTTTTTATTTTGAACACTTCATTGTGCCTTAGGTGAAAGTTCGCCCGGCAAATGCTTCCTGTTCTATCGTCCATACACACGTCATTCCACGGCATAAGCTGCTGGCCCGCAGTGAGCTGGCACTCTCTCCCTCCAAGGACCCTCCCCCTCCCTGCTTTCTTAACTTCGCTTTGGGGCAAACATTGCCCTTCATGTTGATGTTTCTAGGGGTGCTTCTCTAGGTCGATGTGTTATTTGGCTGGAAGGTGACCGCTTCCAGCCAAAGTTCCAGATTAAAAGGGTCTTTGTGAGCAATAGACTTGCGGTCTCCTCCTGCCTCTAACAGTCCAGGTCTGGCTTATGGTCCTGAATTTTGTTCCACAGTTTTCTCCCACCTTAGCTGTGCCCTTTTCTTCTATTAGAGCAGCTGGAACTTACAGTCGGGCACCATCTAGTTCTTCTGGTCTCCAGCTGCAGGAGGCTACGGTTCATATGGGTCATTAGTCCCGTGAGCCAATTGTTTGACTCTTCGGTTTCCTTCACTCTCCTTTGCTCCAGATGGAAGAGCAAGAGTTGTATTTTAGGTGACAGCTCATAAGATTTTAAGACCCCAGATGCTACTCACCAAACTGGGGTGTAGGAATTTATCTTTGTGAACTTTATGTCAATTAGCTGAGGTATTTCCTAAAACTATAGTCTTGAGCCTTCAAACCCAAGTTATTCAGTCCTGCAACGTGTTCAAATAGGTCTAGGCACTTTCCCTCACTGTGCACCCCAATGTGCTCTCTTCTATATGGGTGCATATATGCAACACATAGGAATATGGACCAATGCCTACAACTATCACCATATATAGCATATCCATATGTTCCCATATGCCTTCCCACGCCAATATAGCATGCTCATCTCCCTATGTAGCCGCTCACAGTTATAACTGTTGTTCCAAGATTGTACATTATAGCATTTACCTCACTTCTCCTTGTTTCTTGAGTACCTCTTAGCATCTGTCTTCATTGCTTTGGTCACACTGATTTCTCCTTTTGTAAAATGCCTTTCCCTTCACCAGAATTAACATGCATCTTCTATCTAGTAAGTGACTGTCCCTCCCTCATGCTCTCATCCCTCGTCACCATCTAAGAGCACCAGAAGTAAGGATTTAGTTGACTGGACAGGGCCTAGCTCAGTACCCAAAAACTCAGTCCAGTGGACCAAAGGAACGCCTGGTGGTGCTAGTGAAAGACTGGAGTCCAGGTGACCCGGGCCACACAGCCTCTTCTGAAGCCTCAACAACACACCGCATGGCTGTGCAGACATTCCGTCGGAGGGTGGGGGGAGTGGGGTTACACCTGTCAAGCCCAGGGGCTGGGAGTAAATCGGGGGCACGGGGTGGATGTGGAGGGATTGATGTCTCAGACGTTAATGCCCGTGAGAATTGGGTGTGTTATCCACACTTTCCCATGTTATTCCCAGATCTTAAAGGTGTTGTATCAGCCAAAAATGATATCCGGGTGGAGATTGTCCACAAGGAGCCTGCCTCTGGCCGGGAGGCAGAAGAGCACCCCACTATCAAGCAACTGATGGTAAGAATGCTGTCCTCTTCCTTGTCCCCACCCTGTGGGCCCTGTTCCCTGAACATCCAGGGAAAGGGGGCTTTCTAGGTGCCCTGGATGCCTTGAGAAGCAGAAAAGCCGTCAAGCTGGGCAGCCCCTCGTAACAGGCCAGGCACGTGCTCTTTGTCAACCAATACGTACCGTGTGCCTGCAACATCATGCGTGGTGTTCCTGAGCGCTCAAGATAGCTAAGCCCCAGCTCCGTGACTGCTCAGTAGGGAGAGAAGACGTCTGCATAATTTACTACACTGTGTTGTTTTATGAGTAAACATAAAACATTCTAGAGACATAACATACACAGATATTATACTCAGTATTTGCTGATACTTCCCCCCAAATAAACCCCAAACACAGGTTCCCTCCCAGGCATTGGATGACTCCTCCAAAGAGAACACGTGGTTTCTCTCCTCCTCGTCTTGATCCTCAGTGTTGCTGTTGAGTCGACTCCCACTCACGAACAAAGCTGGTCCTGGGTCATCCTCGTGTTGAAGTTCATCACTGCGACCACTATGGCAACCCGTCGCACATAATGTCTCCCACACCACTGGCTCTCCGCTTCATCAGACGTGGTGTCCTTCACTGGATGATTGGCCCCCTCTTGGTCACAGGCCCAAAGCAAAAGGGTCACACAGTGTTCTGTTGTGATTCATACATAAGTAATCAAAAATGGAATATCCAAAGTATAAACCTAGGAAAACTAGAAATCGTCAAAATGAAGTGGATTGCAAAAAGATTGATATCGTAAGCATTGGTGAGCAGAAAGCTGTTTCCTTGTGTTTTATTGATTCTGCAAAGGAGTTTGCCTGCGTGGAAAACAAACGATGGATGCCACTGAGAATGATAGCTCTGCATTGTGCTCATGCAGAACCCATGCATGGGCCAAGAGACAGACATACAAACAGAAGAAGGGAGTACGAGATGGTTTAAAATCAGGAAAGGTGTGCATCTGGGTTGCATCCTTTCACCAGCCTGCGTGCTGAGCAATTAATTCCAGGAAGCTGGACGATGTGAAGAGCAATAAGCAATAAGATTGAGAAAGCTCGTAACACCCTGCTACACACAGGTGGCACAACCTTGCGTGCTGAATTCGAGAGAGACTGGAGGCCCTTGCTGATGAAGATCAAGGAATGCAACCTTTAGTATAGATTACAACTCAGTGTAAAGAAAACAGGAATCCTCACAACTGAACCAACAGATGGCATCAGGACAAACTGAGAAAAAAAAATTGTTAACGATTCTCTTGTTTGGATCCACAATCTGTGCTCATGCAAACAGCAGTCAAGGAGCCAAATGACACATTGCATTGGGAAAATCTGCTGCACATGACCTCTTTAAAGTGTTGAAGAGCAAGGATGTTAACATTGAACGGTAAGGTGTGTCTGAGTCAAGCCACGGTCTTTTCAAATGCTTCACATGCATGTGAAAGTTGGATAATAAATAAGGAAGACTACAGAAGAAGTGATTCGTTTGGATTACAGTGTTGCCAAAAAAATATTTAAAATACCATGGACTGTCCAAAGGACAAGCAAATCTGTCTTGGAAAATGTACAACCAGAATGCTCCTTCGAGGCAACAATTGTAAGACTTCTGGTCGAGTGTGTTGCACATGTTATCAAGAGAGACCAGTCCCTGGAAAAAGCCATCACTCAGAGTAAGGTGGAGGGTACATGAAAGAGGAAGACCCTCAAGGAGATGGATTGACACAGAGGCTACAACAATGATTGTTCAGATGGCACAGGACCAGGCAGCGTTTCACTCGGTGCAGCACTGTGCATAGGGTCATTATGGGTCAGAGCCATCTGGATGCCACCTAGCCACTAAGAACAGCAGGCTGAAGTGGACTGATACATTGGCCATTCTGAGTCTGAACATCATAGGGTTAACTGTGCTGGGAGTGATAACTCCAAAAGGGGTAGTATCACATTCATCATCAAAAAGAACATTTCAAGGTCCATCTTGAAGTCTATCTGCCTACCAGAAAGTCCAGGTAAGGCAACAATTACTCAAATTTACATACAAACCACTAAAGCTAGTGATGCAGAAATTGAAGAATTCTACCAACTTCTTCTGCCTGAAATTGATCAAATATGCAATCAATAATTGCTAGTGATTAATACTTACTAGTGACTGGAATGTGAACGTTGGAAAGAAAGAGAGTCAGTGATTGGGAAATATGACCTCGGTGATAGAAATGGAGCTGGAGATTGCATGGTAGAGTTTTACGGGACCAGTGATTTCTTCATTGCAATTACCGCTTTCCAACTTCACATGATGAGTATCCATGTGGACTTCACCAGATGGAATGCACAGGAATTTACTACATCTGTGGGAAGGAATTATGCAAAGCTCAATATTGTCAGTCAAAACAAGGCTCATGTGCAAGTTCAGGCAGACGCTGACGAAAATTAAAACAAGTCCATGAGAGCCAAAATACAACCTGAAGTCTCTCCTACCTGAATTTAAAGAACGTCTCAAGAACAGATTTGACACATTGAACACTAATGTCCAAAGACCTGCTGAGTTGTGGAATGACATCAAGAACAGCATATATGGAGAGGGCAAAAGGTCATTCAAAAGACAGGAAATAAAGAAAAGATTAATGTGTGTGTCAGAAGAGAGTCATTAACTCACTCTGGGCCATAGAGTCGCTAAAGCAACTGGAAGTAATGATGAAGTGGAAGTACTGAACAAAATATTCCAAAGGGCACCTCAAGAAGACAGTAATATAATGAAATGTGCAAATCCCTGAAGCAAGAAAGTTTAAAAAAAGAAGAAGAAGAAGAATATGCTCAGCATATCTCAAGCTGAAAGAATCAAAGAAAAAAATCAGGCCTCAAGTTGCAATATTGAAGGATTCTATGGGCAAAAATGGGCATTGTGAGGATGGTGCACAACCGGGCAATGTTTTGTTCTGTTGTGCATAGGGTCAGAACTAACTTGATGGCACCTAACAACAACAAATGGGCAAAATACTGAATGATACAGGATGCACCAAGAGAAGATGGTACAGAGCCACGGTACCACAAAGAAATGGTTAACATCCAACCATTTCTAGTGCATCTGCTCAATGGTATCAAAGGAAGAAGTCCAAACTGCACTGAAGGCATTAGTGAAAAACAAGAATCCAGGAATTGATGAAATACCAACTGAAATATTTCGACAAGCTGAGGAAGCACTGGAAGCACTCACTAGTCTATCCCAAGGAATTTCAAAGACAGTTACCAGTCCAACCAACTGGAAGAGACCCATAATTAGCGCCCAGTTCAAAGAAAGGTGACCCAGCAGAATGCAGAAATTATCGAACAATAATAGCATTAATACTACATGCAAGTAAATGTTTGCTGAAGATAATTAAAAAGTGGTTGCAGCAGTCCATAGAGAAGGAGCTACCAGAAAGTCTAGTTGGATTCAAAAGAGGGTGTGTCTCAAGGGAAATCATTGTTGGTGTCAGGTGGATCTTGGCTAAAGGGAGAGAATACCAGCAAGAGGTTGACGTGTGTGCTTTCTTAACTAGGGAAAGGCATCTTAACTAGGGAAAGGCACCCAACTGTGGATAACCTAGGGATGAGGGAGACTTCCAGAACATTTCACTGAGCTCATGCAGAACCTGTATATTGGCCCAGAGCCAGCCACTTAAAACCAGACAGTCATTTAAAATCAAAGAAGGTAGACTTCAGGGTCATGTTGTTTACCATACTTGTTTGGTCTGTACACTAAGCAAATAATCCGAGAAGCTGAACTCTGAAGAAGAACATAGGATCAAGATTGGAGGAATACACAGATGGCACAACCTTGCTTGCTGAAAATCAGGAGGATGGGGACCATTGGTGATGAAAATCAAAGACTATAATGTTTAGTATGGAATGCAACTCAGTGTAAAGAAAACAAAAATCCCCACAATTCATGGTAAACATCATGAGAAATGGAGAAAAATTGAGATGGTTAAGGATTTTATCCGGTGGGCTTCTACAATCTATGCTTGTGGAAGCAGCAGTCAAGAAATCAAATGGCATGTTGCACTGGGCAAATCGGCACAAGACCTCTTTACAAGTGTTGAGGAGCAAGGATGTCCCTTTGAGGACTAAGGTGGCTCTGGCCCAATTCATGTGCTTTCAGGTGTCTCCAGTGGAAGTTAGACAAGGAATTAGGAAGACCACAAAGAATTGGTGCATTTGAATGATGCTGTTAGCAAAGATGATTGAATATGGACTGCCAGAGATAAAACCAATCTGTCTTGGAAAAAGAACTCCCACAATGCTCCATAGGTGCAAGTGTGTCAGGACTTCATCATTTCATCTCATGTACTTGGACGTATTATTGGGGAAGACCAGTTGCTGGAAAAGGACACCATGCTTGGTAAAGTATTAGGTGAGCCAAAAAAGAAGCAATCACCCCTGCCGTCCAACCCCATCAGAAAACATGCAACTGCCAAACTTTTTGGCTTCGGATAGGCGGTTCCCCTACCTACGGATTTTGTCTGTCTTGTAAGAATCTGCTCAAGTGACTCTCAGTCAATCTCCTCCGTAAGGCTCCATGCTTGTCTGGCAGAGTTCAGGAAGTTCTGCTCTCTCAAAGCACCCCTGCATATTCCTTCCTCAAGTGCACTGCTCTCTAAGGAACCCTGTTGGTAGAGTGGTTATGTGTTGTGTGGCCATCCCCATGGTCGGCAGTTTGAAAGCACCAGCAGCTCCTCAGGAGAAAGCCTGGACTTTCTATTCCCTTAAGTAGTTAGAATCTCGGAAACCCCTACTGGGTCCCTATGACTCAGCATCAACTTGATGGCAGTGAGTTTGGTTTTGGAGGGCACTGCTCTAAGGACAAGTCCACCTGCTCAGCTATCCCCGTGGCCCTCAAGGGCAAAGGCCATGTTCCCTGGTCTGTTCACGTCTGGTTCTCCTAGGCCGCAATGGTGTCTGACACACAATGGAGCGTTCCACTGTACAGAGAGGAAACCACGGCCTCACTCTCTTCAGATCAGCACCATTCCATGGCGTGGAAGTACCCAGGCCGCCATGCCGATCTGGTGTCCCTTCAAATTCGCCCTTGTTAGGGTATCTATTGCCTCTGACTGCTTTACTCAGTCATCCCTGGGTGGTGCAAACAGTTAACATGCTTGACTGGTAATCTTTTACCTCTGAAGAATGGCTATGCAATTCTTTCCAAAATCAGTCACGGATAATCCTGTGGCGCTTCTTCTACTATGCCTCACCTGGGTTCCTGAGCATCGGCGTCAACTGGCAGCCCCTGCTCAGAAGAATTGGGATAACTTCCCTCCCAGCCCTCTGTGCGACCCCCTCACCGAGACGTTGAATCTGGTGAGAAAGCCCAGGCATTCATTAGCAAAGGGAAAGGCTCAGCTCCCAGAGGGGCTGGGGGCCTGGCACAGATCATGCCATTAACAGAGTGACAAACAGGTCACAGGAGAAGCAATACACCCCCACTGTGCAGGCTAGTCTTTGTTGTTGTTTGTGTGTGTGTGTTGTGTCTCATTATTAGTTTAGTTTTCAGTAGTTCAGCACTACGCCGCTTCACTCACTCGTCCAAGAGAAGCATAATGTGCATCACTGTATATCAGGCGCTGCGCTAGGCCCTGTAGTCCTTTGCCATTGAGTCAATTCTGACTCATGGAGACATTGTTCATTGTTCATTGCCCCATCGGGTTTCCAAAGCTGTACTCTTCCTCCCACGAAGAGTTGATAGATTCAAATCTTCGTGTTAGCAGTTGGCACATCACACCAACCTTAGATGTTTGTTCCACCAAGGATCCCTGATAAGACCCCGGCCAATCAAAGAATTAAGAAAACAATGAAAAAAAGGATTCCGTTCAAACATCTCTTTAGCCCATGACCACAATATATGAAGCACAGTGTGCAAAGTGGCACGGGGACCCCAAAATAAACAAGTGAAATTTGCCGGGGCCAGTTAGTCCAAAGAGCTTTTCGTACTTCAAAGTCATGGTTGTGTCAGGCCTTAGATGGGGATAATGGATGGCCCCGCCAGGAGCCCCGCCTGTTCGTAGTACATGATGTCACGTAAATATCTATTTAAGGTGCATGTACCTGATGAGCAGAGATATAGCTTAATGAATCATGATGTATGATATCCCTGGCCTACAAGTCAATAAATACTCAGGTTTATTGAGTTGAATCAGCAAACTCTGGAGGTTACACCCTGGTCCAAGTGAAGAAATGGTGGCCTTGGTATCTGGGCCCCCAGGACTCTGCCTGTCTCTGTGTCTCTTAGAATGGGGGACCAGCAACAAAGTGGAGGTGTGGAATTCCATCCCGACTCCTTTACCTGCCCCTCCTGTGGTCCAAGTAGGGACGATAGGTGTGAGGCTAAGGCAACATAGCAATCTTTTATAGGGATGACGCTATCATCTCCCTCCTCCCATGCACTAAGCAGCAACTTCTGGGTTGCAGATGGACCGGGGTGAATTCCAACAAGATTCTGTGCTGAAGCAGCTGGAGGTCCTCAAAGAAGAGGAGAAGGAGTTCCAGAACCTGAAGGTGAGTGCAGGGAGCCAGCTCAGCCGTGGAGTGACCGC